AGAGTATGTGCTTGGGGCAGGGGCAGCACGCAGAGATCCCCTGACACCTCCCCCACCCCTCTCCGGGCTGCGGGGATGTGCCGGCCGCTTCCAGGAGTGGTGCAGAGCCAGGGCAGGCAGGGAGCCTGATCAGCGGGGCCCGCAGACCACAGTTTGAGAAACACTAGTCTAAATCTATAATTGGGTATTCTAATTTAGGGACCGGGTATCTACGTTTGTAAATTAGGCTCAGATTCTGCAGTTGGGGGTTACGTTGTGTTTTTTACTAAATCTATTGGGGATCATTGCACAAGTTAGAGTCCCTGACTACACCATTTTATATAACATGGGTAAACATGTTAATTGTGGCCTTGCCCAGCATCACACTCAACCGGCTCTGATGTTTCTCCCAATTTCTAGGGCTAAAAAAACATTTCTCATTGTCATTAACATTTCCAGATATGTGCATTAGAAGAAATAACAGGCAGAAGTGGTAGAGAGAGAAGGAGAAATTTGCTGAGATTTATTTAAAAAAATAAAAAATCTGAGATACTAACTACCAGTGTATTTGCACAACCTGAATGTTACTAACATCAGCTGCAATGCCTATTTTATTGCATCTCACAAGAAAAATCAGCCATTATACTTCTGTCTCCAGGCCCCTTGCTTGACAGGCTTTTTTTAAAGAAAATCTTGAGTAATTAATCAATACGTCAGGGTTCCTGTTGTCATTCCTTACTCAGGCAAAACTCATCTTGACATCAATGAGAATTTAGTTTGAGTAATGAGTGTTGAAAAGGTGCCCCTGAATGGCTATAGTAGTTAGCAAACAAAAATCCCTAAAGTTATGGTTGTTATATTATTCCCCCAGTTTACAAAACTATCTATAAGGGATGTAACTTGCAGCATCCAAGTTAGGGTTGTGGATGCATACTTATTCATGAATTTACAGCTCATTTGTCAATGTAATTCCAAACTATGGTTACACTTAAAATTCGTCCTTAACTTGGATCATCTGCACTGCGACAGCCAGACATCAGCAGTACACCATATTGCAGTCTTTCACTGAGTCAGGACTGTCACTGTTTCTTTACCAGTTATATATTTGTTTTAGTCCAATTAAAAAGTGAACGTGACTTTTAGTAGAAACTACGCATTGTGTATGTTTGTGTATCTTCATGCCACTTGTAGTTTAGTGTTCTGTGGAGCCAGAGACGATTAATTAGTGTTAAGAAAGTTTATAAATTGCTCTGTAGTGTTGCAGAGTAAATGCTCAAAGAAATTGTGAACAGTGTGAGTTGACTGTATTGTGAATATTTTTGTTTTTATTTGAAATCTTTATTTGGCTATGTAAGTTGCCTTTGCGTTAAGGTAGTGCTTAATTCATCAGTGAATCTTTAAATGCAGTTCTCAGGGGGTTATGACCTGGTATCAAGTATGAACAGAACAGTTTGAGGCCTGATAGAAACACAAACTTTGCCAGTAGAACCTATGAAACTCTTAGACTCCCTTTTGGCTCACGTTCCAAGCCTTGTTATAATCCCGCATAGCTGGTGGTGTGCACAGCATTTATAGGTTCTGCTCCATACTGCTGTCAGTATACATTCTAGGTGTAAAAGGACTGAGAAATTTCACTGAGCTCAGAATACTGGAAACCCCATAGCAGAGGCTCAGAAAGCAAGTGAGAAAACCTGACACCCTCTGGGTCTGGGAGAATGCTCTGGGGGGAGGGAGGGAAGTGAATTGGTGTAGTTCATTTTAAAGAGACATCATCGCCAACTTGAAAAATCACATTTTTGTATGAAAT